TGCGTGCTCCCCTCGGCTCCTTCTCGCTCAGTGTCGCTGTCAACGCGGGTGTCTGTCTGCTGGTTTCCAGGCTAGATTCCAACCGCCTTTTTTTTTGTTTTATTATGTAACTTTTTCAAAGTATTCTAGGTCTCCTTCTGGGTTTTGAAGTTTTTCCACTCGGTGATTTGGGGTATGAAGCTTTGTATGGAAAGCCGCGTTGCCTTACACTTTATGTACACTTTTATGGGAAAGGCTCATTTTTTGCAGGTGTGAAGGCATCGTGTTTAACAATCCCAGTCTGGATGTGGAGAATTGCTGATGGTGATTCTTCACTCTAGACTCTCTTACAGCTGACAGGGTGACAGCCACCACAGCTCGGGCTCCTGCTCTCCTGCCAAGCCACCACCTGAGGATGTGTAACTTTTAAAGAAGCTGAGACAATCCGTTGAATTTTACTGGTTGTGCTGTTACTGGGTGTTTAAAATCACAGAATAAAGGCCTGCAAGCAGCTTGTGCAGGGTGGCACGAAATATGCAGAGTCCTGGAAAAATCTTGCTTGTGAAAGAGGCCTTAACGAGATTGCAATTACAAAAAGCTGTGTTCAGTCGGTTGTTTAGACAAACAAAAGAGTAACCAATGCTTCAGGAAATGCATTGCTGCAGAGAGGCTGAAGTAAATATGCGCGGTTGGAAGTAATGGAAAAGAAGTTCTAAATGCTTAGAAAGTTTTGTTACTGCTAAGCCATGCTTGCAACTTACTTGGATGCTGTCTAAATGATGAATGAACAAGGTGAATGTTGGTCTGGTGCAGTTAACTTAATCCTGAATGTTTTGATGTTTACTGGAACACTCGGGGAGCAGTGATGTTTTACCTCATGGCATTTTAATTCTACATTTATTGAGGAGCCACAGAAAGTATAAGTTACACAGATATTGAACACTGGGAAAGTAGGAATAGCCTAGAAGGCTGAGAGATCTCTGTTTTTGTGGAAAGTGACTGTTGTTTTATATCATCCTATCCCGAGGTACTTTCAGGAAGTATGTGAGGAGATGCTAACACAATGAAACTGCTTTTTCTTATTAAAGGGCAGCTGAGACAATTGTTCTGAAGAGAAGCAAAACAGCTTGATATCTAAACGCGGCGATGCTGATCCAGTTAATATTATATTATTTGATGAGACTGAAAGTGGGTAGTATTTACTCTGTTCCTTAGGTTATCTGTGGTTTTAAAATACAAATAATTACTTCACTGAAGTGGTATTGAAGCCTAATTATGTGTTTCATAAAGCAGGCTGTGACACTCTGGTGAATGGGTGGGTGACTTTTTCCCCTTCCTGTGGTGTGAGGAAATCCTGTGCTATGTAATTATTTTGTCTGATTTTTGGTGGTACAAGCAGTTGCTGTGCCTCTGCTCTCAAGTGTTCCGGATACATTTATTCATTCTTAGGCTGACTAGTTTATAAAATATATCAGCATAACCATTTTATTAAAATTCTAGGCACCATCCTCATATTCCAGTTAGAAACTTCACTTGATAATCAGAAACTTCATTGCACAAAGTTTAACCTGTTGATTTGTTTTTTCTTCTGTAACTTCTTGTTTACAGAAGGTAAAAATGAAGAAAACCCAACCAACCCCAACCCCCCAAAAAACAACCACCAAACCTCTGGAGTCTATCTTATTACAGTATATAATGGTTTTTAATCTTTACTTAAAAATAGTGTGGACAAAATTATGTAAATTATGTGACTTGATTTTGAATGTCAAAAACTCATTAGATTTGCGTGAAAGAACGTATTCTCTGAAACGTGTATGACTGGTCTTTTTTGGAGCCTCTAATAATACAGCTCCTGTCTGGATCCTTGTGGGAGGGAGCTATTGATAGATGTCCATTCATTAAGTTTGTCATGCAAGAATGCTTTTGATGTGTTCCCTTGAAGCAATAGTTTTATAAGTGAAAGAGATGACATATGCTATGTTCACGATGAAGTATTTGACTCTTCAGTATTCATTCTGATCTTTGCAAAGAAGTTTGACACGCGTTTTCTGTTGAGAAGTGTCCTGGTTAAATTTTAGATGTGACTGATTTTCCTGGACTCTGAAGTTCGTGCTAAGCTGCCTGCCTTAATTTCTCAATTTCTTACTTTTTTTTTTGTTTGTGTATGTTTTAATAGCAAATTTCTTATTTATGCCTGCCTGCTGCTTTTTTCCGTGTTGCTCTCTCTACGTCTGGATGACAAAATTCAGTGGAGTTACTGGGCTGTATTTGCTCCAATATGGCTCTGGAAGTTAATGGTGATTGTTGGTGCCTCAGTGGGAACTGGAGTATGGGCCCGAAATCCACAATATCGGTAAGTTGAGAATATTGATTTTGCAAAACAGAGGGAACCTACTGTGTTTTCCGTACTGAATCAAATGCATAGACAGGGTTTTAACAACATAAGACGAAGCATCCAGAAGGTTTATTTTCAACATATATTTAGAAGAATTTTTACCTATGGTTTATGTAAACAGTTTTACACAGCTGTGGATGTCTTAATCCTAGTCGCAAGTTTATCACAACTTTCACCAAAACTGTCTTTGAGAATCTAAAACTGATGGAGTGACGTTTTGCACTTTTCTGGTAGAACATTGGGAATTCTTTGCTTTAGTGTAATCTGCATAGAAATGTCTGTATTCATATGCCCTAGGAATCTACTGTGCTTAACTGGATTATTTTCTAAATCAGTTTCCTGAAATGTACAGCCTGAGTGATGTTGATTTTTATTTTATTTTTTTCCTCTTTGGTGTGCATATAACCTCAGGATGAATGTTCAGTGATTCTTGAACATGCCATGAATTTTTTTCAGATGTCAGTTGCAGTTTTATAGGAAACATTCAGGTAGCTGAATGTATTAATATATAGGCAAAGGTATAACACTTGCAAAGTAAGGTGTTTGTGGGAACAAATTGTGTAAATTTTTTTTCATTTTTCTCAGAGTTAACATTGATATTTTAATTGTCAGCCTGGGGTAAAATAACTTTCAGACCTTTAAGTACATCCGTGTTTACTTTTTTGTTAATATGAGCAGGATGGGAATTTGAACATGCTAATGGAAAAGAAAAATTACCTTAAATGAAGTGCAACAAATTCAGTCCTGTCTATGGTGAATATGAAATAAAAAATGTTGTGCACACATCCCGTTCTGTTGCACTATATTGTGTGGTTCAGGGCTCATTTGCCTCTTCTAGTAATGGTTCTACTTGTGTAGGAAAAGGTGTGGTTTCTTTGTGTTTGCTGTTAATTTTACAGGCGCTTTACTTTTTAGGAATAGCTAATATTTTGTTGCAATATGCTGATTTTAGTGAATAAAGAAATTCTGGGGAAAAATGTTGATTCAATGAAAGCTGGTACAAGAACTAAACAGGTAATTTTAGATCTAGCTTATTTCCTAAGAGTCTGCAGGATATCTGAACGTTGACCTAGTAGCAAGGAAATCCTGTTTTATATGCACACCTGTGGAACACTTAGAAATTTTTCAAGTTATAAAAATCCCACTGCCTTCTTTGAGTAACGTGCTTTAAATGTGCAGTTTTATGGGCAAGAAATCTTGTTATGTCATCAGGAGCATAGCTGGAAAGTGGCTACTGGAACATAATGTGTATCTTCATTAACAAACAAGTGTTAATATCTGAAACTTAACAGTTGAAGGTGCTTGGGGTGTTTGCAGGTGAGCACGCTTTCCTCTTGAGAAGAAAACTGAATGCTTCCTCATCCTCTCTTTAGAGCAGAAGGAGAAACCTGTGTGGAGTTCAAAGCTATGTTGATTGCAGTAGGCATCCACCTCCTCCTGCTGATGTTTGAAGTGCTGGTGTGTGACAGGATTGAGAGAGGCACCCATTTCTGGCTCCTGGTCTTCATGCCATTGTTCTTTGTATCTCCAGTGTCGGTTGCAGCTTGTGTGTGGGGATTCCGACACGACAGGTCTCTGGAGGTAACGCTTCAGTTGTTACTGCAAAATGTGTGGCAACGCGCGACTCTTTTGTCACTTTGGTTACAGTTTGTCACTCGGGAAATTTGTTATGGGAGACGGCATGAGTTGAATTCATTGTTTGCAATGACCCGCATTTTTTTCCAATCTCTTCTTGGGTTTTTTTTAACTACTAAACTGGAGCATGTTTTAAACTTGCCTTTTTATTATTGTGTGTTAAAAGAACTTACCACAAACTCTGCAATATGGACCAATTCTAGACACTAAACTGGGAATTACTGAAGAAAATCCCACTGGTAGCAAGCACTGTCCCTAGGCAGAATTGAACTTCGAGAGCCCTAGATAATCAGGGTTGAAAACTTCTTACTATCCTGATCTGTATGCTTAATCTTTACTTAGGGAATGTGGATAGTAGGCAAAACCCAGCCATTTCTTATTTTCTGCCTCTGTCTTCTTTCACCTCTAACTCACTTCTTTTGGGTTTGGAAGAACTTTGCAAGGATTCTCAAGATCTTCCCAGGGTTGTGGCATTTTGCAATAAATCTAGAATTCCTACTGAATTGCTTTTTAAGTTGTTTTTTTTTTTTTTTGCTGTATCCTCAAACTACCCCATGACAATTAAAACTCAGATTTTTTTTATTTTTTTTAACAAGGTTCAGCTTTTTTCAGGTTTTTAGTTTCAAGACAATATTTCTCTAACATTACCGTAAGCTGAGGTTATCTTGAGAAAGAGAAAAAAAAATTTTAGTTAGTGATTGTTAGGATGGCTGGTAAGCATGTTCCTTAAATTGTTGATTTAAAAATATTGGAAACAGAATTTCGTTTTGCAGAGTGGGTCACAATTAACCATTCCTAAAAGTAAAGTTTGTGTAGAAGTACTTGCCTTCTGCTGGGTGATGCTTGATTACGCACTGATTTACAGACGACCACATATCTGCTAAGTACTGGCACAAAAAAGTGCCTCAAGGAAAATAAGTTCCGCAGCTGAAGTATCAACTGATTTTATTTTATTCACTATTGCTGTTCTACATTCTTTTCTTTTTGCTCTGGGAAGACTTCATGATTTCCCTTTAATTTGTTAGAAATGTAAGAGGGGCCTGCCTTTGATCTTAATTTTTGGCATGAGTAATCAACGTAGTTGTTAATCTGTTACTATTTTCCTAATTATTTAATCATAAAATGTATTATCTGCCTGTTCTTATTCTGGAACTGATGTCTATATAGCATGGTGGGCTCAGAAGAAGCTTTCTTCTGAGAGTTACACTATTTTTACAGTAAATAAAGCACCATTTATTTAAGGCATATTGAATTCATTAAATTGTGAGCCTAGCCACTCCAAATAGACATGCACTTGCCACATATAGCTCAGATGTTAAATTGATTATAAAAATTATTTATATTGATACTCTGATTTTTATTTTTTCCTTCTATTTGCTCTTGCGGTTTTCAGGTCGCTTGTTTTTATGCTTAAGTGGGTTTTTTTTCAGTGATTTATTCTTTTGAGAAAGCCAGTAGTACAAAACTATTTCAAATCTAGTTTTCCAGACCTTTTAAAGGAACCTCTACTTCAACAGTGGAGACTTCAGTGCAGTCTCTGAAGTAGGCAAGTGCCTGCTGCATGTTGGGTTGTTGACTGTTGTGTAGTCCAAAGACATTTATCCCAGAGATCATAGTGCACAATCATATGTTAGTGAAAAGTAGCACGTAGTGTCTGCCTTCTGAGAAATACTGTATTTCAAAGATGCCTTACAACCCTACATGCTTTTTAAAACTGGAAGATGTTTCTGACTTACACTCAAGAACTTCAGTTACTCTCTTCAGGTAATAATTCTCTGTTTGATATTTGAAATTCCTGCCCATTTGGAGTTGCCTATAAACTTCAGAAAAAGAATCTTGCTGAGTCTGATAGAGTTTCATTGTTTTTCTTTCTTCAAGCCAGATGCAAACTTTTCTTTTTTTAAAAAAACATTAGAGTTAGTTCTCATAGTGGCCAACAGGACACATGAACGTTTTCACTAACATTTTTAATGAGTAGTGTTTTCCTGTATTGCCTCACAACTCAAGTGCCTTCAGTATCATTGAAAATATTGCCCAATTACACAGTAAATGATTGAATTTGAATGTGATCTTCCACTATTTTCTGTATTTCTTACACCCGCTGACAGAACTGGAACTTTTAAACTGTCTTTTTTCAGTCTGAGTAGTTTAGCATTTCTTATTTCTCCAATCCTTCTAAAGTGTTGCAGATAGTGCTTTTATTTTATTACTTCTAAATATCACGAAGGTCTTCCCTCAGGAGAAAGCTACCTTTATAGTTACTCTCAGGTCACAGCCTCCCAAATTTAGGGATACTTAGTAATATCTAGTGTAAATGGTGTTCCATAGCACGGTGATAAGCATGGAGTCAGAACAGCCCTTTGACAGATTCTTTGGTTATGTGGGAAATAGCATGATAAAGCTAAAATTTAACTAATGTGTGTTCTTTTTCTAGCTGGAAATCTTGTGTTCAGTCAATATTCTGCAGTTCATATTTATTGCACTCAGACTAGACGAGATCATCAGATGGCCGTGGCTTGTATGTAACAAGTGTTTTACTCTTTTTGTTTCAGTAAAGATATTTACTATATGTTACAGTAAATGTATAATGGGAGTCCATGATCCCATTTTTGCTTGCTTAATAATCCTTCACTGAAGGGCTGGCATTTCATTTGGTGGTCATGGGAAAACAGAGGTTGTTCTTTGGGCATTTCATCTTTGGGAGAGAGGGATGTGCCATCAACTGCAATTGCTCTCTATAATCAGTTGCTGGAAGAGAAATCTGAACCAAAAGTTTCCAGTGGGAACACTAAACTAGCCATGACAATGACTGGTGAGTCAGGGAATGTGTTGGTAAATATGTTGTGGTAAATAACTAGTTCTATCTGTTGTGTTACCAGGCATGTAAATCAACTTATTGTGCAAGCGGTCATTGTCAAAACTGCTGAGATCTCCTGTCCCAAGTGCCTTTAGAATACAAAAGCTCTGTTTCTGTGCCTGGGCTTTTGTAAACTACCATAAAAGTGATAATCTGGCTTGATTGTAACTGCGCTTTCTATTTTCCAAAAAACTAGGAAAGGGATTTAATTTAGAATCTGTTCCAAGTAAGGTGTCCAGTGTAGAAAAGACTCGCTAAAATCAGCTTCAGGTGCTGTTTGAGGCTATGTAAAATGACAGAAGTCTTTAATAGGGTTGAACTATGTTGGCTTAATTTTAAATAGTTTAAGCTTGATGGGGTTTACTAACGTAACTGAAGACCCCCAAAGAAGTAGTACGGCTCATAAAAGTGCCTGCAGCTTGTGAAGCTTTTCTGTTAGAGATTATGTTAGTTAAAGAGCATTACCCATAATTTCTCTTTCTTGTTTAGACTCAGTATGTAGAGTTGCTTTATTTAAAAACCCCACACCTGAAACAAATCAAACTGATGGAAATGCATTCTTCTGGGGTGGGGTGAAAACGAGTTCATTTCTTTTTCTTCCAGGTTGTTTGTGTTCCCCTCTGGATCTTGATGTCCTTTCTGTGTCTGGTCGTGCTCTATTACATTGTGTGGTCTGTTCTGTTCTTGCGCTCCATGGATGTGATTGCTGAGCAGAGGAGGACACACATAACAATGGCTGTGAGCTGGATGACAATTGTAGTTCCACTGCTCACGTTTGAGGTAGGAAAAAAAATGAACAAGTTAATGTATTAACAGCCAATGTGAAAGAAGAACAAGCATTCTGTATTTCTTTAAAGTTCTTTGAGTAAATCGCTTGTCACATTGGCCCCGTACCTACATTTTCTGTGGAAGTTGTTTTTCTTCACAGATGTGTGAAGTTGCAGGCCTGAGATCAGCGTGTTTTAAGAAGCCTGAAAGGGGGTATTGCAATTAAACTGGCATTGTGTCTTTTTTTTTTTTTTTTCCCCTTTAGATCTTACTAGTACACAGACTGGATGGGCATAATTCTTTTTCTTTTATACCCATATTTGTTCCTCTCTGGCTTTCACTGATAACTTTAATGGCAACAACTTTTGGACAAAAAGGAGGAAATCACTGTAAGTATTTAAAAATCATGGAAGCAGATTGAAACTCAAGACTTAAATGTATTTTATTAGGACTGATATTTTCAGAAAGGGATTTTTTGTGTATATTGTCTCATGAAAGAATTTGTATATGTTTGTTACTATGATTTTCAGGTGCTTTTAAGTTTGCAGTGTTTATAGTGTCTCTTGCTTATTTCTTTTTTTTATTTTTGTTATTTCTTTTTTTCTTATTCCCTTGAGAGCATAACTTCTGCTTGGACTCAACTTGAAATCTCAGTGGGATTTTAACTGTAACTTAGCCTTTTATCCTTATTTTCATTCTCACGGGATGTGATGGATCTTTCTACTCTGGGTTCTGAAAATGGTGTAGCACCTACCATTTTTAATTAACATTTGTAGTAGCCTGAACTAGTATTCTCTTCGGCCATATAGTGCTCGGGGCTGCTTAGTTGTAAATTCAGTTGCCGGGGGGGGGGGGGCAAATTCAGTTGCTGAGGGGGAGCAGCATAGCTGTACCTGGCTTTTATCACCACCACAACTAGCATTGTGAAAGAAAAGGAGCATTTGCAATCTGAGCCATCCAGTGCAGAGAGGGAGCTCTTCCCATCCACGCTACAGTTCCTGCTCCTTGTTGACAAGGCAGTAGAATTTTTCAGAGCTCTGTGAAAGAAAAGGAACATTTGCAATCTGAGCCATCCAGTGCTACTGAACAAGCACAGAGGAGGAGCTCTTCCCATCCACACTACAGTTCCTGCTCTTTGTTGACAAGGCAGTAGAATTTTTCAGAGCTGAAAGGAACCAGTTGTGGTGTTTCTTAAATAAGATTCCTTCAATTTTGATCCACTTGTGAAGCATATCGGGAATTTCTTTCTTTGGTCATGACTAGGCTTATCTGCATACATTTAGTTTACTTTTATATTATTATTGCTTGATAAATTGTTACTGGTGATATATTTTTTAATGCATGCCCTCAATAATTTATGGTCAAATCAGTCTTTTGGAAAGCCACATGACCACTTTATCTTCTGTAGAGTTAGTAAATATGTCAATTTTTTAAGACGGTGAGCCTCAGAAGACTTGCATGGAAGTCAGTCTTCAAAGTGCCCAATGAAATGTGCCAGTTGGCCATGCAGTGTAATCTCTGCCAAAAAAAGGGGTGTGTGCGATCTTCCTTGGAAGATGGTTAATGTCTTGCTTTTTTTCAGTGTGAAAGACTTGACTTGGGCAGGCTGTTCCTTTTAACACTGACCTCTGTATCGGTTAATAGAGGGGGGCCATCTGCTGAATAGAAGTGCCATTTACCTAAATGCTTTCTTTCCAAGTCTTTGCATATCGCAACATACGTGACAAACCCAGCATGCGAACGGTTCTAATGCAGTGCGAGTGCTACCAAGGATGAAATACTCCTGCCTAACAACGAAAGTATTTGAGGAATACTGAATACGTACCATTTACTAATCTCTGTCTGCCTCTGCCATCACATTCCCTCTGGTATTGTAACCTCTGTCTGTCAAACAAAAGGTGGCTTGGGTGTCTTCCCATGTGGCCCTGATTGTTTTGATGGAGATACCAAGTCTTTTGTGTTCTCCCTGTGTGTACTAATGCGACCTGACACTGCTTAACATGGGAAACAAAACAGATCCTTGCTGTGGTGGTAGAGCTGGAGTTATGCGTATGGATATACACACACAGATACGCATGTGCAGGCATGCTGGGGTATGCAAATGCACGTATATATTCTGTGTTATTCTGACTGTGTATCTGTGTGTATATAATACTGAACTGCACTGTTATTATATGCTAGGAGTCAGAATCACACTGAAACAGCAGCATTAACAAATATGTGCAAACAATCGAGAAAAATGAAATTGCATAGTCTACCTACTGAATTAAATTCTCATTCTGTTCTGCGATAATGGGAAGTTATTTTTACTGTTTTTGTGTAGGGTGGTTTGGAATTCGCAAAGACTTTTGCCAGTTCCTGCTTGAGATTTTCCCATTCTTACGAGAATATGGAAATATTTCTTATGATCTTCATCACGAAGATAATGAGGAAACAGAGGAAACACCACTGCCTGAGCCACCAAAAATTGCACCAATGTTTCGAAAAAAGACTGGAGTGGTCATTACGCAGAGCCCAGGAAAATACGTGATTCCACCTCCCAAGTTAAACATTGATATGCCAGACTAAGATGACAGTAGCGTATTAAACCTGAACTGGGAATAAGCAGACAAATGTATTTCATCTCATGCCTTTTCCCAATTACTTTAAAATAGGTATTGCTGCATCAGTGGCTTGGATTACACAAATCAGATCCTGAAGATAATCTGAGAGTTTTTCCAGAGATACGTGGTGGTCTAATTTGTGAACCTTCCTAATGGGTTGGTTGCACAATTGTCTGTATAGTATTTATATGAACATTTTAGCAGTGTAATATATTGTTTAAAAGTCTTGTCCTGTACAGTATAAGTATTATCGAAAAGTATTTTTTTAAAAACCCTGTATGAAATGCCTGTGCTATTCCAGGTGTCTTAGGTCCTAAATATACACTTGATTTCCCTGTCTGTTTTAAATGCTGCCTTAGTATAGTACCTCTCTTACTCCTTTTTCTGTTCAGGCACAATCATTGTCTTAACCACAGAGGCACAGGAGTGTTGCACTTCTCAGGCAAGACTGGAAAGCTTTTTGGGTGGGGAAATAGTGATGGTTTTGAGTTAGCTGGGTATATTTTCATGTAAGTGTTTCAACTTTTGCCCTGGCTTGGGAGCAAAGTGTTGTTTTTGTTGCTTTTCCAGTTTCATGCTTTGATTCTTCTGGAACGTAAGCCATTCTCCCCTCACACTGGCTGGTTAATAAGCTGTTCCCTCTTGCACTGTGCGTGCAGTCTCTGCCAGAAACATTACTTGTAGGTTTTACAGCTGTCAGCTGGTATAAATACCACAGGTGGGTGTTCATTACCAACTTCATGTTGGTGTAAATGATCAGACTTTTCACACAGGAACTCGCTGGGGTTGCTGGAAGCAAGACCTCCTTTGACAATTCATCTTGGACTTTTGCAGGTGCTTTAGAGAATTTTAGTCTTTGAAATGTATACTCCAGACGTTTAAAACAACATTGCAGATACCCCCATATCCTTGCAGCTGCTCTTTGTGTTCAGGTGAACCTGTAGCTTAAATACTGTGGATCACATTTCTTTAATGTCACCGTGGCAGTAAGAGCAAAGAGCATATTTCTGCATGCGTGAAAGGTGCGCACCTGAAAAACTTGAGAGATGTGGTTCTTTCCTTCCTAACACTGCAGACCTCCCTTTTCCTCCCTGTGGACCAGCTACTAGCTGAAACCCAACACAGCACTGTCCTACACTTAAAATTCCGTTGCAATTCTATTTCATTTTTCGCTCTTGAGTCAAAGAATTAAAATCTGTATGTGAAAAGCAACACATGCTATTTAGCACTTGCTGCTGCTGTGTGACTAGGCAACAGGCACTGTGCTTTGATGCAGCACAGTGTGGATGTTGTAGTGATATTTGAGAACTTTCCCTTGGGCATCTCAGTCAGGTGGTGACCTCCTTTCAGCTGGCTGGCAGGATGGCCTAGCTGCTAGGGTAGATGGCTTCAGAGAAAATAAAAACAAACCAAAAAAAAAGGAAACAAAACGAAAGAATTTCAAATGGAGCTTTCCTCATCAGAAATGTCATGTAATTGTTCCGGCCAAGGAAGTGGATTCATCAGGCTCAACATCTCTGCCCAGCATGTGATGAAAGAGCAGACAGTGACGCTGCCTTTGGATCTCCAGTAGAAGAAAAGTCCTCACAAACTTTCCCTGAGGAGCCCTGGCCAGAAAGAGAGCATCGCAGTTGATCCGAGGAGAGCTCTCGCCAAGGCGATGCCTGTGCATGGCTCAGCTCCTTGAAGCAGCTCTGGGACCTTCTTGAAAATTATCAGTTTGAGTCCATTTGGTGAGGAGACAACAGAAAATGTGTAGCGATCCATGAAGAACAGTTTGAAGAGGAAGTACTGGCAAAGAGAGGACCCCTGAGGATTTTTTCAAGTGAGACCATGAAAAGCTTCACTTGTCTCCTCCAGCTGTACGGATTCACTGTTACGATTCACCAGAAAGCTGTGGGATTGTGCAAAATTGGGCTTCTGTGATGACTTGCTACGGGACAAAACAGCCAGGGAGGTATGTTGACTCCTCTATGTGTAAACTCACTCTCAGAATAGTCTAGTGGGACAGATTCCTGTTCCAGTGGAATAAGCCTTTCCCACAAAGGAGATGAAGATGGCAGTAAATGTTCTGATTGGCATTTGTTGCCATGCTCGTGTTCAACAGTTTTTGAGGTGGCATTTCTGAGGGGTAGAAATGCTGATAAAATGCATTGGTTATTAAAAGATACCGTATCGGGATTTATTTTTAATTTGCTATGTGTCTCTTGCTGTGCCAGATGGGCAGTTTTCTTGTGGCATTTGCTGAAGGATGAGAAGGGACACGTGGTCCTCATAATGGTTACCTGTGTGTTCATTCCACTCTAAAGTGGATGAAAAGTAATAGGGTTTGCATTTCTAAATCAGTTTGTATGCTTTTGAAAAGCCTACACCTGTCTGCTACCCAGCAGCAAAATCTCAAGGCTGGTTTCTACTTTATGGGACTGGTTTTTATGCAGTCTGAACTTCAGGTTTAGAATGCCGCTGTTGGTCCCTTTTCACATAGCCATTTTTCTTTTGAAATTAAAATGCTTAGTTCTTGTATCTTTGTGGTTTCCAGTCTCAAGGTGGTGGCAATTGATTCCTTTCCTTTGCATTTTTTTTTAGTTTCACTTCTACTACAGTCCATACTTCAGAAGACCTTTTCTGTGGCTGCTACTGAAGTATAAGCAAAGCTTTGGTCTAAAGCAAACACCAATGGGATTTTCACTGGCCATGGATTTGTAGTCACACCGCCAGAAAAGAAAACCGGATGTTGAGTTTATGTTGGAAACCATTCCCCAGGAGGAGAGTGGCCCGTTCCCAGCAAGTCCGAGGGAGAACGTGGCCACCTCTGCGCCCAGGAAGACAGCCCCTGCCAAGTGTGTCAGACGTGCCTCAACACGTGAGGCACTGCAGAGGCAGCACCTGTGGCAGCTGCGGGCAGGGAGCACCTCAGTCCTCTGGTCCTGTCCCTTCTGCTGCAGCTCAGCAGCCCCAGCCCAGGTGGGGAACACAGGACACTGTGCCCAAGTCAGCTCCCCCCAGGGCTGCCACGTGCCACCTCCCCTCTGGGCTGCTCTGCCCATGCCAAGGCCACCTCGGGGCCAACCCCACAACTGCCCCATGGGCACGTGTGGTCCAAACAGTGGACCTGTGGGCACTGGCCTTGGACCCTACCCCAGGGCACACCAGGGACGTTCCCTGGCTCTTTGAGGAGTTGTGTAGTTTAAGGTACAAGAGTCTCTTAAATGTTCCAATAAACTGTCTGAATAAAAGTCTCTGCCACTTGTCCTGTCATTATAGCCATGTCTATGCCTGACCTTGAGCCTTAGAAAGTGACAAGGATTTTAACTGTAATGCAGGGGGTGAATTTTGAAAAACTTTTATTAAAGTGCCTAAATCAGTGACATCAACCATGTCTTTTGAAAAAAACATTTATTATTTATATAGTAAAAAAAAAAAGTCTAGTAAACCATTAATTATAATTCTTCACTACAAAGGTTCTGAGACACTGAACAGGTTGCCCGGTGAAGCTGGGGTCACCTCATCCCTGGAAGTGTTCAAAGCCAGGCTGGATGGGGCTTTGGGCAGTCTGGTCTAGTGGGAAGTATCCCTGCCCCTGGCTGGGGCATTGGAGCTAGATCATCTTTAAGGTCCCTTCCACCTCAACCCATTCTATGATCCTGTAATGGTCATAAAAATTACACCTTGTTCATTCTGTCCCTAAAGAACATTTTTTCAGGTATATTTGCTGTGTTGAACAATTAGTTTTGGAAGGGTATTCCTTCACATCTGGTATTCAAGATGCTGACTTGCGAAATGCAAGTGTGCATTTATGCAGGAAAAATAACAGTGAGGGGCAACGGCTACGCTTCTGAAGGGATGAGTTCCTCAGGGATGTCCACCTGCCACATGCCTCTTGTCCCTCTGGCAGGAATTGGTTCGAGGAGCCACCTTGGATTTGAAACATCAGTCAAGTATTTCTGTTCTAGGTTACTGAGGACAGCTTTGTTTTCCAGCTCCAGAATCTTTTCAGGAGGCAAGTTTTCTGGATATAGTGATGTCTCTCCAATGTCAATTAATCCTGTATTATAAAATTAAAATATAAAATCAGTTGGCTGTTGGATCTCCTAGAAAAGTTTTCCAGAAGTAAGCCTCCCAGAAGACAGAGAAAACAGTTGCTTTGTTACCAGAACACAGCACAGGTATCTGAAACAAGTGTCATTCACTGCAGAAGGTGGCCTGTGTGACTGAACTTAGGTCAGTGAAGAAAAGGCAAAGCATGCAGTTAAAATGTTCCCAACTTAATGATAGCGACTGCTCTGAAAAGAAACCTATGTCTAAAGAGACAGAGCTGATACCAAAACTCCTGAGGTACTTTTGGCCTTGAAACAGCTTCATTAAATACAATACTCTCTCTGTTCTGTCAGGACATGCTATTAACATTTTAGTGTCATTAAAGTGTATGGAAAATCCTACACTCTGGAATGCTTTTAATGCCACAAAAGGGAATTTCTATATTGTTTAATGATTAAAAATGTTAAAGATCAAAGAAGCTTTGGTCCATATTCTGCAATTTAGTGTGCAATTTCTATCGAGGTTACAAGTCCGCATATTAGGTAGTACCTAACAATTTTCAGCAGTGTAGGAACAGAACAATTTTTTCAGTATATATGATAAAAGTAATTTGCTGTGCAGGAATACCTTAAAATATTCAAATCAGATTGCAAGACAGATGGTGTAACAAGAGATACCTACAAGAAAAGAGCGCAAAATGCTGGATAAAAACTTTCAAAGTATACAGTGCTGCAACAGATGTTGCATTTCAACACAATATGAGCAAAGAAATGTCACTCTAACTGAATGTTACAGGAACAAACTTCACTGCCCAAATAACAAGGGTAATGGAGCATCTGTAGAACTGAAACAGGATTTATTTCAGTGATACTCTTAACATGACCTGGGGTAAGCACTGCAACAGGATGACTTGCCTTGACTATGAGTCCTGTAAAGTGGTTTCAGCTGGAGCTCCTAAGCTCAAAATGCAAAAATGTGGACTTAATGTTATCAGGAAACTCACTTATACTATCTTACTGCATGACACATTAGCACAAATCCACTTGATTTCTTGTACAGACTTCAGAGTTGCAGCCTGAAGTTTTTAGTAGAATGAATGTATTTAAAACTGAGGCCTGGCGAAAAATCTTTATCCTAAAGGCCAAAAGTACTTCACATTTCCAACACAAAGAGGAAGAATAAATTTTATTTACAACTTTCCTCACAGACTTCATCTTATAGTGATAAGGAATCACAACAGGCCCCCACCCACAGCTCTAGCACCATCCCTTCACAGTAAGTGTTAGATACGAGCACACCTGTGTAAGGCGGGTGCAGATTTTACAGCCTTAGGGGACTGAAAGCCTGCTTGGAAATAAAATCCAGGGTTGCTTACCTGCGATGACTCCTCTGCCAAACTTTTCCCCTTCGTCCAACAAATCCTGCACTTGTTCTGGTGTCATACCAAGCCTATTCAAGAGAATTGCTCTCCACGTTTCATCTTGCCAGTCCTGAACTGCGATATGAACGGCAACGGTGCGGTTCTTGTAGCCTGCGAGCAAGGGCCGACCAGCGGGTCTCGATGGTTTTGATTTTGTTTAAAACTAAACCCGCGTAGGGCTGCCGGAAGGAAAGGCAGCCAAACTTCATCTCCTACGAACAAGCAGACGCCCGGGATGAGCCTTCAGAAGGGGCTCCGCGG